ATTAATATATATGTTAAGACAAACTCACCCTACAACAAAGCTAACGTGGCTTGGTTCAATTTCATAATGTACTTCAGAAACGCTAGAAATGTTCAATGACTACTAGCAAACAGTGGCTGGCACATACTTTGAATTTAATGTTTGTATGATCCAATGTTCTTACTCCGATTAACTGTTTCAGTAAAGACATTAAAGGTGTTGTGTGTATGAAATGCCAATATCAAAAACTGTAAATCGTGTATGGCAGAATATAAAAAAATTGTGTTGAATGTTTAATTACAACGTTTTAAATTATGATTTAAGCATGATAATAAATTTACTGTAAAATTTTTAAACCCCCATTATTAAAAAATCTATTTAATTTTGCACTCTCATAAAATAAAATATTTTTATCACACAATTATGATATTATTCACTCTAAATAGATCTAAAAATTTTCCTAAGAAAGAATTACATCTAAAGTTTAAACAACACTTGTAACTACAATAAGACCTAATTTAACGTTTTCTTGATTTGCTGATTCGATATAACGCCGTCTACTCGAAGTCTAAAATAAGCTCTCAAATTACACTGATTCAAACTATCGCTGAATTTCATTAATTCGTATATAAAACGATTATTTCCGAACACGAACCAATTATCAAAAGGTGGCAATTCATTGTAGCGCTGTACTTTCCTTAAATTTATGTTTGTTTGGTGCAATTTTCGAAAAAATATAACGTCATGAATGTCATAGGCTAGTGATTTCCAAAATGTGCACCGCGGCTGCCTCACAGGGGTTCCGTAAAAAATATTATAAAATGTTCATAATTTTACGTCTACTTTTAATTCAACGCGATAAGATGTGACTTCTAGCCGACCTGGTTCAAATGCATTGGTATCTGTACTGATTATGCTCTTTAATTTAAAAAATATTGGCTATTTCGCGAATTTTACTTCTTAGAATTTGCCATAGGGAGCCTTGAAATAACGTGGATTTAGCAAGGGTACCGATAATCAAAATAGTTAGGAAACTTCTGACGTTGGCGATATCGACTTCGCTTGAGAAAAAATAACTAATAAATGCATGAACGAAGTGTGGAAAAAGTTATGGATGAA